TAAACCCTAAACCCTCAACCCTACAGGGTCTTCAAGGGGTGCCTTGGAGGTCTTCGTCAGGCTCCTAGGGCTCACGGGTTTCAGGGCTGAGGGCTGCAGCCAGGCTGTGATGCTGTGGCCTTTAGGTCCTTGTTGGGGGCACATGAGGTATAGGGTTTAGGGTTTAGGGTTGTTAATTGAATGTGTTGGGCTTTGGTGCTTCGGGCATCAGGGCTTTAGACGTATATGCACCGATGACTTTGAATGCACATGGGTTGCCCTGTGAATTCTGCCAAGACCACTTGCTGGATCCGGACAGTGCTCCGGGTGCTAAGCTCTGCTAAGTTTACGCAGCAAACCCGATCACACTGGAGGCGTCATGGGCTTTCTACTTTGCTCGCGACCGGGCGGTTGGCCCGAAAGGTCACATTTGCGTCCTAGGATTAAGGGTCCATGTACCCAAACAGTAAATACTTTGGCCCCAAAGTACCCATATAGGGACTACTTTAAGGCCCAAGTGTGTACTATTTGGGTACATGGACCCTTGGGGTAGGTGCTTGCGTGAAGGTTCCTCAGTCTGCGGGCAAGGTATCGAGCAAAGCCACTCCATGCAGGCTCGCACAAGTTTGTCTAATGTAGGGGCCTTACTAGTTAGAATAGGGTTTCTGGAGGTTCCTTATTATGATGATAGTATAAGATATCCCCCAAACCCGGTTCTACTTATGAAGGCCTCGATATTAGCCAGTTTGAAGTGGGCCTCCAACTGAGTAACTGCTGCATCGAACGTGAAGATGGGTTATTGTTCCTGGACTTCAGTGGAGGAGCATAGCGTCTACGGTAGGGTGTGTAGACCAAGGTCTTGGGTTTATAGGTTAACGTAGTTCTCTGCACTACGATGAAAGTGGTATATGGCCCAAACCCATGTCTAAGCCCTAAACCCTAAACCCTAAAGGCTGCTGCATTAGAAGCACTCCGCCTTGTAGAGTCTTAATTCATCCCTCAGTCCTAAACACCGGCAGTAGGAATTTAAGGAAGGAGCCCCAAAGCCCTCAGTCCCAGAAACCGTCAACCCCAGCGCCCCAAACCCTCATCTCAAGAACCAAAACCCAGCACCGGACCCCGAACACTAAACCCTAGCTAAAAAACACCGAAACATTAAAACCCTAACCACGAACCTGGGCCCTAACTCCAAAGCCCCAAACCCT